ATTACAAATTTTTAAATTTAATTACTTAATGTAGTTGGGCAACATTTTATTAAAATAATGAGAATAAAATAATAGTAATAAAAATAATAATTTTATTCAGTAATAATTATCTGTATTTAATCAACGAAAATTGTAGTGAAAAATTATTTAAAAAGTGATTTTTTAAATTTGTCCAAATATTTTGTTTCCGTTCGTTGAAGGTATTCTAAATGAGTTTGAAAAAGAAAATTAATTAACAAATATTAATTAAGGTAATAATTTTCTATACATACAAAATTTACGCCTACACTATATGTATATTCGAGACGAATATATTGTTTTAATCAAGCAAAATTTATTTGTCCAATTAATTTCAACACTATATTTAAAAATTAAATGTGGAAAATATCGTTGCACTTGGCCAAACTCGAGTGAAAAAACTTGTATTTCATTTAATAATTCAATCTGTTGATTTAATAAAAAAAAAAGATAGAAAATGAAAATATTTACTCGAAACAATTTTGTTTCTTTCTTAATAAAATTCTTCGAAAAAATTAAATTGTTTTCAAAAATTCGAAAATTCTTTTAAAAATTAAGAAAGAAACAAAATTAACAGGAATTAATTATTAATTCCTGTTAATTTTGTTTCTTTCTTAATAAAATTCTTCGAAAAAATTCAATTATTTTCAAAAATTTAAAAATTCTTTCTTAAAATTCTTCAAAAAATTCAATTATTTTCAAAAATTTAAAAATTCTTTTAAAAATTAAGAAAGAAACGAAATTAACGGAAATTAATTATTAATTCCTATTAATTTTGTTTCTTTTTTAATAAAATTCTTCGAAAAAATTAAATTGTTTTCAAAAATTCGAAAATTCTTTCTTAAAATTCTTCAAAAAATTCAATTATTTTCAAAAATTTTAAAATTCTTTAAAAAATTAAGAAAGAAACGAAATTAACGTAAATTAATTATTAATTCCTGTTAATTTTGTTTCTTAAAATTCTTCAAAAAAATCAATTATTTTCAAAAATTCTTTCTTAATAAAATTCTTCAAAAAATTCAATTATTTTCAAAAATTCTTTCTTAATAAAATTCTTCGAAAAAATTCAATTATTTTCAAAAATTTTAATTGATAATTCTTCTCAGAGAGTCAAAATTATTTTTCTGCTTCTTTTTTGCTATTTAAAAAAATTTATCTCCGTATCATTTATAAAATAACGAAATTAGAAAAAAAGAAGGAAAAAAAATTGCCTCCCTCATGTACGATGAATATTTCAATTAGAAGGTCAATTAACTCAAAAAGGTGTGAAGATTATGTTGTGTGTGAAACTCGGCTTTTCTTCCTTCCTTCCTTCCTTTCTTCACACTAAAGGTGTAGTCAATAGGCACTTTAATCGTTAAATGGTTGTTGTGGTCTTTTTTAAATGGCGCGTAAATGGGATAATCTCTAAATAATTGTGTCCATGTGTGTGTGTGTGTGTGTGTGTGGGGGTTTAAGGGTATATAGTGATAATTCATTATGCAGGCTTTGTGCGACGAAACAATGGAGCCCAAGGGAGTTGAATATAGTTCTCTATGGTAAAACCCCTGCTCACCTATTTTCTGATTCATGAAGAGGACATTGGACGACCTTTTTACGCTCGTACATATTATATGATTCTCGTAAAGATGGAAAACGGAGTGGGGGGAAAATTACTCTCATCGTAAAGATCAAGAGTTTGCTGTCTGCTTTTTCGAAGAGAGAGAGAGAGAAAAAAGATGAATGAATGAGAGAGTCGCGGTGAATTTCTAGAAATATTTTTCATTTTCGCTTGAAATTTTCAAGCGAAGAGGAGAACATTCAAAATTTTGAAATTAGGAAAGAATTATCTAATCTCCTTTTTATCCTCTTAAATTATTAAAATTATATAAAAAAAATAATAATTTAAATATTTCACAAAATTATTTTCAATTAAATATTAATAATTTTCTAATTACTAATTATAATTAACTCTATTGACAGGAAATTAATTTAAAATATAAACTCGTTTAGAGAAAGTCAAGTTAGATAAAAATTTCTAAATTGTGCATATGATAAAAAAAAGAATAAACTATGTATGTAGGAAATAAAATGAAAAAATAAATATTATTCTTTTATAAAATGCTGAATTTTCCATAATATATTTTTCCGAGCGAATAATCTGTTTGCGTTTACATAATTTTTGCCCGATTGGAGGGTATAAGAATGAAGGGAAAAATAATAATAATAAAAAAAAAATTGCTTCATTCACGTTGATTTTGCGCGAAACGTTTTAAAAACCTTGAATTTATACTGTTTGCGGAGAGTTATGGGTACACATGCAGAGAATGAATGTTGTCTGATGCTATTTTCACCTTGATCTACTGCGCGTCTGACGAAAACAGCCTTTATACTACTTGCACTTCATCTTTCACGAAAATTTTCTCTCTTACATGAAAAGTTATGTGGGTCAGACTCATGTCAGACTAGACGTAAAATTCGATATCTATGTATCTATAAATGCAGTATATATATACTAAACAATAAATAATTTTTTTTTTAACAATTATTAATAAACAAAAGATAAAGTTCGATAAAAAAATTTTTTTTTTCATCTTCTGCTGATTATTTTAAAGACGCAGATATTAATTGGAATAGATCTAGTATAATAGCTTAGAATCAATAAATAATTTTTTTATTAACAATTGTTAATAAACAAAAAGTTATAAAGTTAATAAAAATAATTTTTCATCTTCTGCTGATTATCGGCTGTGCATGGTTACTTTTTATTAATATTTAATTAAATTAATTTTGATGACCCGGATATTAATTGGAATTGTTTAAGTAGTAGCTTAGTAGATATAAATAATTTTTTTTATTAAAAAATTTTAATAAACAGAAGACTTAAAAGTTAAAAAAAATATTTTTTTTCATCTTCTGCTGATTGTCGGCTGTGGTTACTTTTTATGAATTTTTAATTATATTAATTTTGATGACCCAGATATTAATTGGAATTGTTTTAGTAGTGGCTTAGGACCCAAGAATAATATTTTTATTAACAATTGTTAATAAACAAAATGTTATAAAGATAAAAAAACAATTTTCATCTTCTGCTGATTATCGGCTGTGGTTACTTTTTATGAATTTTTAATAATATTAATTTTGATGACCCAGATATTAATTGGAATTGTTTTAGTAGTGGCTTAGGACCTATAAATAATTTTTTAGTAACAATTGTTAATAAACAAAAGACTGATAAGTTAAAAAAAATATAATTTTCATCTTCTGCTGATTATCGGCTGTGGTTACTTTTTATTAATTTTTAATTAAATTAGTTTTGATGACCTGGATATTAATTGGAATTGTTTCAGTAGTAGATTGGGAGCAATAAATAATTTTTTTATTATCAATTGTTAATAAACACAAGACTTAAAAGTTAAAAAGATTTTTTTTTTTCATCTTCTGCTGATTATCGGCTGTGGTTACTTTTTTTATTAATTTTTAATTAAATTAATATTGATGACCCAGATATTAATTGGAATTGTTTCAGCAGTAGTTTAGAACCCATAAATAATTTTTTTATTAACAATTGTTAATAAACAAAAAGTTAAAAAGTTAAAAAAAAATAATTTTTCATCTTCTGCTGATTATCGGCTGTCGTTACTTTTTATTAATTTGTAATTAAATTAATTTTGATGACCCGGATATTAATTGGAATTGTTTTAGTAGTAGCTTACGATCCATAAATAATTTGTTTATGAACAATTGTTAATAAACAAATAACTTATAAAGTTAAAAAAAAAATAATTCATCATGTTCTGTTTGTTATTGGCTGTGGTTACTTTTTATTAATTTATAATTAAATTAATTTTGATGACCCAGATATATTAATTAGAATTTTTTTTTTCTTGCAATCGCTGATGTTTATAACATTCTATTCATGCTAAAATTTCGAAGGTTTAAGCAATGTACAAACACAGACGTCTGATTTTATTTATAAGGATATATATTTTCTTGAAATAAATGTCGTCGAGAATATTGGTTGCAATGGACCATGAAAATTTGTCTCGCCTCCATAATAAATTTATCGGTTCAATTAAATAGTTATATGGATAGTCAATGGTGGAATTTTTCATCGCGTTTATACGGTTAGAGAAGTTTTTTCTTTATTTTCATTCACTCTTATATACTGTTTTAATAGAGAAATTTTCTTTAAATATGCAACACCAAAATTCAAAATTTTCTTATGAATTCTAAAAATTAAATTTTTTTCCATACTTTTAATAAAAATTCCTGATTTTTTTCTGATTTTCCTGACCTGTGTAAACCCTGATAATATATAGTCGACATTTGAACGAAAATTTGTCATTTATTTTTGTGATTGATGGAAAAATGAAACGATAATCTATATTCTCAGTTAGATGCAATTTAATTTCCATTTTATTTTCACAAAAGCAAGCAAAAAGTGATTGATGATAATTTTTCTAGTGACACGTGTGATAGTTTTTTAAAAATAATAAGAATTTCGATACAAATACTTTTTTATTGTAAATGTTGTATTTGAAGTAGAAAATTTTAAAGATAACTCTACGTTTTGCTTTAAACTGTACAAGTAGAATTGAAATTCTGTTATTGTTTTGACGTTTCAAATGTCAAAAGACTAAATGGAAAACTAAATTTACAATTTTCGAAATTTCCATTTTCAAATTGGAAATATTTAATCTATTTGTTATTTTAGAACATTCATTTACTTATTTTTTATTTTCTTGATTGTGGTATTATTTTGAAAGTGGATTCAATTTGAAGAAAATCATTCTTTTATTTGTTTGGAAAGAAAAACAATATTTGAAAACGAATATATTTTTTTTTCTTTTTAACAATAAAAATGTTTTGATTTTCAAAGTTTTTATAGGGAACTTTTTGGTAGATTTATAAATGTTACGTCAATAATATGCGAAATTAGTCCTGTTTGGAGTGAAAATTTATTCGGTAAATAATGTAAAACAATTTAAAATTAAACTTACCAGGAATACTGGTACCGAGCGCCACAAATACAATGGCAGTGACTGAATCTTTAATACCCAAGGTGCATCCAAAATAAGATGCTATGTCCCCAATAATTGCCGTTACTATTCCAATGCCAATTATGCTCACAAAAAAACAGAGGTATCCACCAGCAATATCTGTAACAAGCGAAAAATAACAAAAATTTACATTTTGGTACACATTTTTTTATACTTTAAAAGGAGTCTAGTTTATAATTTTTTAGACTCAATTATTACACGTGGGGAAAATGAATAATCTTTTAATTTAATATCATTATTATTATTATTATTATTATTATTATTATTTATAGTATTATTTTAAAATTACGATAATAATTCTAAAAATTATATTATTATAATGTTTAGAATTATTATCGTAATTTTAAAAAACATTAATAGTTGTTTTAGTGATTTTTTTAAATGTTTGTTATACTTGTAATGTAATTGAAGTCTTTAATAAAATTTCTATGTTGAGATTTGAAAAACATTGTCTTGTGACGCGTGTAAGAGACGTTAACGAATTTTCTCAACGTGTAAACATAATTAGTCCTGAGGCTTATTAGGTCGCGAATTATCCTAAACTCAATACTACACAGCATCAGTCTTCGTTCAAGTCGGAAGCCTTACAGGTTCATGACCCGCGTTGTCACTCCCCTGGAAAACACTGTCTAACTCCTTCGTCTCTTTACACATACAATATTTAATACAGTAAATTTTACACAATTTTTTTTATTTAATTAAATTTTATATATTTATTCTAGAAAATAATAACAAAAAAAATTGAATTTTTTAAAAGTTTCAAATGATTGCAGAAATCCAATTATTTTCAAAAAATATCCTCAAACTAATGATATTCAATATCTGCTATTTTAATAACATTTTCCAAAAAAATTCAATTTGAAAAATTTTGATACAATTCTACGTAAACATTTAATTATTTTCATAAATAATAAAAATTTCATAAGAATTTAATTATTGTCAAATTTTTTATAAATTTCTTCGCAATAATTCAATTATTGACAAAAATATTAACATTTTTGACAGGACAATTATTTACAATTATTTACGTAATTTAAATAAAATTCATCGCAAGAATTCAATTATTTTTAAAAATTTTAATAAAATTCATTACAAAATGTCAATAATTTTTTAATACAATTTTAATTAAATTCTTTGAAATAATTCACTAATTTTTTTTTAAATATCAATAAAATTATTTAATTCAATTATTTTTCTAAATAATAAAATATTTCGTAAGAATTCAATTACTTTCGAAAAGGGTAATAAAATTTTTCAAAAGAATTGAATTATTTCAAGAAATTTTAATAAAATTCTTTTCAAAATTCAATTATTTTCAAAAAATGTAATAAAAATCTTTGCGAGAATTAAAATATCTTCATATAAATAATGAAATTTCTCCCAAGTTTTCAATTATTTTTAATGAAATTCTTTACCTAAATTCAATTTTTTACATAACTTAAATAAAATTCTTTGCAAGAATTCAACTTGTATTTTTAAAAATTTTAATAAAATTAATTACAAAAAGTCAATAATTTTTTAAATACAATTTTAATAAAATTCTTTACAAATTTCAATTATTTTCAAAAAAATGTAATAAAAATCTTTGCGAGAATTAAAATATTTTCATAAATAATAAAATTTTTCCCAAGATTTCAATTATTTTCAATAGAATTTTAATTAAATTCATCGAAAAAATTCAATTATTCTCAAAATTTTAATAAAATTCTTCTCAAAAATTCAATAATTTTCACAAATAATAAAATTTTTCAGTAGAATTTAATTATTTAGAAAAATTTGAATAAAATTCAATGCAAGAATTCAATTATATTCATAATAAATTTCTTCGAATAAATTCAATTATTTTCAATTCAATTGCAATTGATTTCTTAGAAAAAAAAGTCAATTATTTCAAAATTTTTAATAAAAAATTCTTGAATAAAAATTATTTTCCAAATTTTTAATAAAATTCTTCACAAAAATTTAATTATTTTTCGAAAAAAAAATCCTTTGAAGGATTTCAATTATTTTTAATATAATTTTAATTAAATTCCTCGAAAGAATTACATTTTATCAAGATTATTCATAAAATATTTAATTATTTTCAAAAATTTTAATAAAATTCCTCGCAGGAATTTAATTATTTTCAGAAATTATAAAATTTTTAAAGTTATTGAATTATTTGTTATTATTTTCATAAGTAATAAAATTCTTTTCAGGAGTTCAATTATTTTTGATACAGCTTTATTAAAATTCTTCAAAATAATTCAATTATTTCAAAATTTGTTGATAAAACTCTTTATGAGAATTAAAGTTTAAGAAACATTCAATTCTTTAATAAATTATTTATACCTAAATAATTGAAGCGTTTTGTGCAAAAACAGCATAAGTCCATAATTAGAAATTGTTCAGGAATCAATAAAAACTGTTTTTCTCGTAAATGTTAAGATTTTTTTTTAATTCGGCTTTTTGCATTATATTCTACTAACCTATAAGTTAAAAAATCCAATATGATTAATTAATTATCTACTTAATATAAAAAATTAAAAAATAAATTAACATTTGGACTTATGCTGTTTCTGCACAAAATGAAATGAAAAACACAGAAAATTTATTAAATCCAGTGAAATATCAAAGTTTTATGAAATATTTAATAACATTTATTTAAAATATTAAATTAGGATAATTTTTAGTAACATTTTATAAATAATAAAATTGTTTTAAGAATAAATTTAACCAATTTTCAATATTTTCTAATTTTAAAATAATTCAGTCACCACTGTCACTTTTTGCTTCCCATGAGTGTTTTTATTTATAATATAAACTGTTTAATATAAATTATTAAAATACGTCAAGAATATCCCAAATAAATATAAAACTTATCATGGACTTGTGCTGTTTCTGCACAAAATGATATTTTAATTATTTTTTTTAAGGGTTTAGAGTTTAGTCACTTATGTAATATTTTACCAGATTGAAAAGCTTCATTCAAAGATAAATTTTCCATAAAAAAGTGATTTTTGAAAAAAATGGACTTATGCGGTTTCTGCACAAAACGCTTCAATTGAATTCTCGTAGAATTTTCTATAATAAAAATTGATTTAAAAAAAAAAAATTTTTTACTAAAATTGCTTGAATTTGTTTTTAAATAATTGAATTTCGAAAAGGTTTTAAACTCTAATTAAATAAAATAAATAAATGAATATTTATTGAATACGAAAAGGAAGGAAAAATCAGTGATGAAAGGTAAAATAAGATTTATAAAATAAGATTTAGTAAAAGCCGTCTATTTAGTCGGAATATAGTCGTTAATTGAAGATTTGAACTGGCGAGAGTAGAGATAGGTAACGGCATAAAAGCCATGTTTGCCCTATATGGGATTCACTATATAGTCCCAGGTGGTTATAAGGGATTCTCGTTATATTAGCCTCGCTTGGATTATCCGCAGCCACTTGATAACTTCATCTCTTTTGCTGAGCACGTAACAAAACAAAACGTCGTCAGTTAAGTGCTAATGGTCTTTCCCTCTCTCTATCTCTCTCGTCTCAACAATCCTCTAACTTTTCTTTTTTCTTTTTTCCCATTTCGAATTACTATTTAAGACGAACACTCCTATTCTCCTGTTCCACAGAATTGTTTATACTTTTCAAAACTGATTTACGCTCTAATGACTTCTAAAGTAACTTCAGACTTTGGATAAGATTACTTTTCCCACTATTTGAAAAAAAGATTTTCTGTGACTTGAATTTGATGTAAAAGAAACGATGAAGAAATAGAAATATTTCTTTTTTCTGAGAGAAAATTATATTGTGGATACGAAACTTTTGAACGAGGGGCGAAAAGTACTCTTGTGACGCTCCTGGTTCTCTCACAAGCGGTGAAACCTTTACGCTTTGGGGCTGATTTCGAAAAGGGGGGACAATTTTGAAATGTTCGCTTTAGTAAATATTATTTTATAAATCAGAAGTGAACACGGTTTACATTAATTTAATAATATTAATAATATTATTATTAATATTAATAATATTATTATTAATATTAATAATATTATTGAATATATGAAAAAAATGAATAAAATGAATTGACATTAATTACTAGTATTTATGGTAATTACCAGTAAACAAGGGAGACAATGAACTCGCTCAATCGTAAAATAATAGATCTCTGATTATTATTACGAGATTAGAAATAAAGAAGTAGTTAATTGGATTAGTGAAAGTGACGGAGAGAATATAAATCAATCATTTGATAGGCGATGCGGTTAATCATGTAATTCCCTAACACACGTTGATTATAATTATTAGGGAACCTGTGTTGGTAATTGTGCATGTGATGTGTTCTCTAGAGATTGAACTCGAGTTGGTTCATCAAACTATCGATCTTTACTTGACAAACCATAGTAGACACCTCAAAGTATGCAGTCTTCTCCCACCCCCCGCCCTTCTTCTTCTTTAACCACTATATGGTTTATATGGTTATTGGCAAAGTTCTAGAAACAATTTTAATGAGGGACACATTTTGCGGCTATCTTCCTATATATGCATTAATCCTTTTCACTTGTCTAATAATTGTGCTTTCGCAGTTCCTATCGGTAGTTGTGAATAGGGACAATAACATTTTTTCATTATTATTATATTTTTGTAATAATTACTATATTATTAATAGAAAGCTTTTTATTATTAATAAAAGTAATTTTGTTGTTCGAATGTGTCGTTGTTTTATTGAATAATAGAAAGCAATTAAAGGGCGAGAAGTAATAATAAAATTATAATAATACAATAATTATTATAATATAATTATGATATTGTTATTACTTCTCGTCCTGTAATTTCTTTCTATTAATTTCGACATATTTTCGAATTAAACCTTTTTTCGATTACATTACATTATAAAAAAACTAGTGATAATTAAAGAAAGGTTTTTCGTTTGACTGTTTTTGATAATTATTGCGCTATTTTCTTTATGATAATATTGTAAAATATTACACGTAAATAATATCGGACTTGGTCAGTTGACATGTAAATAATATTGTCGTATCGTAGTTAGGAATTAGGAATAATTAAAAAAGTTGCATTTCGAAACGTATGACACATTAGTTGGAAAGGTCGACAGGGAAATGC